CAGAGCAACAGTGGAAGTATTGGGGAGGGAGAGGGGTCTTTTTTTAGGTAAATATCTGCAATTAGTGAATTTTCAGCCACTGATCACAGCTATTGGTTTGCTCAGCAGAGTCTGCTGAACAGTTTGGCCACAGGTTCATGGTCACCGAAGTGAACTGATAACAAAAGGAGCGCCACGTCAGTACGGTGTACTGGACTGGCCATCTGGAAGCAGTCGTGTAGACCAGTAGACCGTACTGACCTGGCAGATTTTGCTTTTTTTCATAGAGTTGTGAGTCCAATTCTTGTGTGCTTATTAAAGCATAAATAAAGATATACTGGTGGTGTTGAAGCTGGGGTCTGAAACAGGGCTGGAACAGGAGCAGAGGACCCAAATCAAGCCAAACTCAACCCAACCTTACATATTTCAAATATTAAACATTCTAATCTATTTCATGTCTGTGGTTCAAAAAAAAAGACTTTTTTTTACTCTAATAATTTGATATTTGTTGAGAGTTCCTCTCTACAGAGTGAATAAAGAGATCTAAATGTCGAGTGGGCTATATATAACAGAGTTTGACTTTCAGAGGCTGATATAGAGTGAGATAGAATCACCATTAATATCTCTTACCATTCATTCTCTTCAACATTGCATGCTGTATGGCTTGACACTATTGCTCAGTGGTGTATTGGCGTATCATCCATGGGTGCAGGGTGTTCACTGCAAATGGGCCCTGGGGTGGGGGGGGCACACTGTGCTGTGAACACCCTGCACCCATGGATGAGATGTATCAGGTGCAAAGTGGGGATGATCGGTACAGTGGTGGGCCAGTGACAGGCATCAATCTCCTGTATGGCTTTCAATGAAGCAGCTGGAAGCTGCAGGAGGGAGAGGAGGAGAGGCGGCTTCCAACTGCTTCATTGAAAGCCATACAAGGAGATTGGTGCTTGTCACTGTCCCCACCACTGCTCTTTTCATCGCCTGCCATCCATCTGATTTCTCTTTGTGGGTCCCCCCCCCCGTGTGCTCCTTAGTGCCCAGCCCATTCCCCCGTCCTCTGCACCAATAGGAGAGAGAGAGGCTGGATCTGCTCTGCCTCCCCCTGTGCTGTCGGCTGCTCTGTATACAATTTCCCGCCCACACTTCCTCTTCTGCACGGCACAGACTGGAGTGTGGGTGGGAAATTGTATACAGAGCAGCCGACAGTTCTGTAATGCTTTTGACTGAGCCAGTGAGCCAGGAGGGGCCAGCCATGTAAGTCCAACCTACCTTCCTTCCTCCCCCCCCCCTTCCTTCCTTCTTTCCTCCCCTCCCTTCCTCCCCTTCCTTCCTTTCTACCTCCCCTTCCTTCATGCCCTCCTTTCCTTCCAGTGGTGTCACTATGGGGGTGTGGACTGCACCCGGATGACACCCACCAGAGGGGTGTCGCCATCAAGTAGCACTGTGGCAGGCTAGGAAGGGGAATCCACTCTGATGCTCCTAGGTTAGCCGTACACTGACAGGCAGTGGAGAACTAAAACTCCCAGCATGTAGCGCAGACTTCCCAGTAATTGAACAAGTAGGTGGGTGGCACCTTCTCAGGGCTTTGTCACTGCTGGCTATGACTGCTACTTCTTAGGAGCAGGGCTATGAAAGTGAGCCCAGAGTGTGGTCTGGAGTGAGTGCAGCTCTGGCAGGGCAGGACAGCAACTTCTTCCTGGACTCTGGCGCTCTTCCAGCATCAGGGAGCACTGGTCTTCAACTTTCTGCTCATCCCCACCATCTAACTCTTTAAGACAGACGCTTCAGGTTTTTGCATGATGCTGGAGGGACCATGGTGTATGGTGAGTGCATGGGCCGGCACTGTGAGGGTAATGGCGGGGGGGGGGCAGACTACATAGATAGGAAAGAGAACTCCTCTGCCCCATACTCATCACCCCTGTGCTTCTTCATTCTCATCACCCTTCACCCCTGTGCCCCTTCAAAGTCCATTCTCACCAGAGGTGTTGGGACTGTGTTTGGTGGCTATTTCAGCACAGTCCCACCACAAGACAAGAAAAAGTGCCTTGTCTACTATCTGACCTGTTCACACTACTGCTTAGTGGTGTTGTGTATTGGAAAAAAGTACAGTAGGCCGTATTTTTTTTTCAGCAGAGCACAATGTGAGGCAATCCACTGTCTCGCACAGTATCAGCCAATACAGCTTAATGAAATGTCACTTTGTGACATTTTGATAAAGTAGGTTTAAAAAAAAAATTGAACAATGCAATGTACCATTAACGCCACATCTGCAGTGCATAGGGTCTCATGCACACGGATGCATTTGCCCAGGCAGTGTAAAAATTGGGCTACCAGTGGCCAGCTAAAATCAATGGAAGGCTGAAATATGTGGCGGCTGTACCAGTGTCTGAGTGGTAATCAGATGTGCATACAACCACTGCATATGGATATTTACTTTTTTATCAAAATGAAAAACTGGATTAAAATAGGAAAAAATATAATTTTAGCGATAGAAGAACCCAGAATAAATCAGTAACCGACTGAACACGAACAGTGACAGGTACAGTATATGAGTTTAAAAGGTTAGTTCACCTTTACCAAAAAACTTTCAATGCAGATAAGGGGCGTCTGTAGACAAAAAATAATCTGTGCAGCTCTGACTAAAATTCAATAATGCCCTTGCTATAGGTGTAGACCATTTACGTACCCCCACCCCTACCTTGAAGCTGGGCTGAAAAACACCTAGAGATGACATCTCGATTTCCTGCCTTGTTGTTAGGATGCCGCTAAGACAATCCCAGCTGATGCAAACCCCTTCACATGATCTCTAACCCCTGTTGCAGCAGCTCTGAGATCAGCAATGATGCCATGAAGGAGACAGTGGACCACAGATGTGTAGGATTTTGAGAGCTCACTCCTGTAATGGTGGAGTTGAGCAGTAACAGCTGAAAGTGTCTTAGCAATGTCCTAGCAACAATGCAGGGCAGGGGAATGCTATTTCTGGGAGTTTTTTGGCCAGGCTGTCACAGCGGCAGTCCAAGAAGTGATAATCAGCGCAAATACTGACACCAAGTCCGGAACAGTCTGGTAGTAGGTAAAGATGGTTAGGGTGACTTTAATTGGGGGGTCCGTATGGCACTAAGGGCAAGCTCCAAACAGTACTGTAGCAGACTCTGTGTTAATGAGAGAAGGAGAAGAAGTGCCTCTAAGTCAGTGGTTCTCAACCTTCCTAATGCCGCGACCCTTTAATACAGTTCCCAACCATAAAATTATTTTCGTTGCTACTTCATAACTGTAATTTTGCAGTGAGAGGAGTAGTGCCACATCATTGGTGTCAGTGAGAGGAGTAGTGCCACATCACTGATGTCAGTGGGAGGAATAGTGTCCCATCGTTGGTATCAGTGGGAGGAATAGTGTCCCATCACTGGTATCAGTGGGAGGAATAGTGCCACATTGTTGGTGTCAGTGGGAGGAATAGTGCCCCATCATTGGTGTCAGAGTGGGAGGAATAGTGCCCCATTATTGGTGTCAGTGGGGGGGGAATAGTGCCCCATCATTGATACTAGTGTGGGGGGGAATTGTGCCCCATCATTGGTGTCAGTGGGGAGGAATAGTGCCCCATCAATGGTGTCAGTGGGTGGAGGAATAGTGCCCCATCGTTGGTGTCAGTGGGGGAAGGAATAGTTCCCCATCGTTGGTGTCAGTGGGGGGGGGGGAGGAAAAAGTGCCCCATCATTGGTGTCAGTGGGAGGTATAGTGTCCCATCATTGGTATTAGTGACACCAATGATGGGGCACTATTCCACTGACACCAATGATACTTACCTTGCTGACTCCTGCTCCAACCTGGGCTCGCTCCCTCCCTCTCCCATCTACAGCCAGCCTGCCTGCAGCAGCACCATCTGCACCCTACTGACACTTACCTGTCAGCTGTCTTCCTTCTCCAGCCGCTCTCTCGCTCGATCTTCTTTGATCTTCGCGCTGCTGCTCGGCTCCACCTCTCCAAGCTCCAACTCCTCGCTGGTGATTGGCCACCTGTGTGCCTCTCCTGAGCTACAGTTCCAGCGGCCAATCACTGGCGAGGAGGCGGAGCTGTTGAGTGATCCCGGGGATGTGGCCAGATGACAGGGGCAGCATGTCATCCCGCGCACACATCGCTGTCCAGGGAAATGTGGACATATCTGCATGTGGGCGGACCCGCCTGGAGACTGATAGAGGAGCGGTGTCTCGGTTCCTATGACCATCGGAAATATGTGTTTTCCGATGGTCTTAGGAGACCCCTGTGAAAGGGTTGTTCGACCCCCAAAGGGGCCGCAACCCACAGGTTGAGAACCGCTGCTCTAAGTGCAGCATAACACTTTATTGTAGTGTAAAAGTAGAAACACTGACATTTAAGTGGTTAAATACAGGCATGTAATAGTAGTAGTGAGGTGTAACATCGGAAAGGAATGACTGTCATCAGGTCCCCACTGAGTCCACTGAGACCCGATGACAGCCGTTCCTTTCCGATGTTATACCTCACTACTACTATTACATGCCTGTATTTAACCACTTAAATGTGAGTGTCACAGTGGCAGGACAGAGCACTGTGGCAGGTTAGCTGGGGAGGGGGGGGTGTTACACCATGTTTTAGCACACCAGATTACACCAACCCTAGTGACGCCACTCCTTCCTTCATCCCCTCCCTTCCTTCCTTTCTCCTCCCCTCCCTTAATCCCATTCCTTCCTTCCTTTCTCCACTCCCTTCCTTCCTTCCTCCCCTCCCTTCCTCACATTCCTTCCTTCCTTCATCCACTCTTTCCTTCCTTCCCTCCTTCCTTCCTCCCCTCTCTTTCTTCTTTCCTTCCACCCTCCCTTTCTTCCTTCCTCCATCCATTCCCTCCCTTTCCTTTCCTTTTTCCTCTCTCCCCTCCCTCCCTTTTCTTCCTTCCTTTTCTACATTTGCCCCACCTCTTCCTGTTTAAGATCCACCCCTTCATCTTTAAACTCCATCCCTTTCTCGTTAGGCTCCACCTCTTCCTATTAGAGCTCCACCCACTGACAACGATGGGGCACTATTCCTCCCACTGACACCAACAATGGGGCACTATTCCTCCCACTGACACCAACGATGGGGCACTGTTCCTCCCACTGACACTAATGATGGGGTACTATTCCTCCGACTGACATCAATGATGGTGCCCCATCATTATTGTCAGTGTGGGAGGAATAGTGCTAGTGTCAGTGGGAGGAATAGTGCCCTATCATTTGTGTCAGTGAAAGGAAAAGTGCCCCATCATTGGTGTCAGTGGGAGGAAAAGTGCCCCATCATTGGTGTCAGTGGGAGGAATAGTTCCCCATCATTGGTGTCAGTGGGAGGAAAAGTGCCCCCTCATTGGTGTCAGTGACACCAATGATGGGGCACTATTCCTCCCACACTGACAATAATGATCAGGCACTATTACTCCCACTGACACCAATGATACTTACCTTGCTGACCCTTACTCCAGCCCGGGCTCCCTCCCTCTCCCATCCACAGCCAGCATAACCGGTTGCAGCAGCACCACCTGCTTTGCCACACTTACCTTACTGATCAGCTGTCTTCTTTCTGTCCTCCTCTTCACTGGCTCCGGTCCCTCACTTGATCTTTTGTAGTGTCCCTTCTGTGGGAAAGGGGGGGTGGCGCTGCCCCCCTCAAAAGTGCCGCACTAGGCAAACGCCTTGTTTGCCTTGCGGTACATACACCCCTGGATATAGAAGGTGGATCCCCTGGATCCCCTAATCCCAGCCTGTGAAATGTTGTGCCTGCATGGCTATATATAATATAATGGATAATAAATACATGGATTGGGGGTAGTTATAACTCTCCTCTCATCAGTTGGATGCTGTAATGTTTCTATACATAATCTGTTTTTTTTCTTTCTTATAAGATCCTATTAATTATTCTAAAGTTTTTCTTGTCAATACAGTCCATATGAAGTACATATAATAATTGGGGCATCCAACTCATCTTTATAATATTATATAAAATTAAAAGAACATCGTCCATGTATATTTCTATTTTTCTTCTATAGGACCTTGTTTAAAGCCAACGATGTTGGATGAATAACACTGTTCAACAGGTAAAAAGTTTTGGGCATAAAATTAGCTAATCTTACATAATTTTGGGGTGCTGAAAACGAAAATGACCCTAAAAAATGTTGATTGGCTCTAGTTTCCATGATATATTCACCCATCTAATGACGTAAGCCATTCAAAATTATGATGCAACTTCAGCTGCATATTGCGCAATTGATACTGGTGACCAATAGAAAATTGCATGTATACTGAGATGATGCGATATTAGCCTTTAATTGCATCACTTCACTGCATAAAAGCTGCAGTATCTGTAGCTGATTGTAGTTCGACAGCGTCTTTACATTTCGTTTTATGCTTATATAGGCTACTCAGTAATGCCTCGAACTTGTGTGAATAAAGCAGATAATTTCTGCTATATCTGCGGTGAAATAACTTTTATCTCACAAAAAAGGAGGATAACAGGAATGATTAAGAAAGCCTACAACTTGTATTTTGGCTGCAAGATAAGAGACCAGGACAAGAGCTGGGCACCACATATATGCTGCAATTCTTGTGGGACGGCACTGGAGTAATGGTTGAATGGAAAAAAAGGCATCTATGCCTTTTGCTGTGCCAATGATTTGGAGAGAGCCAACAGATCATGTTAGTAATTGTTACTTTTGTATGGTGCCCTCCAATTGTAAAAGGGCTAAATAAGAAGAAAAAGTTATCTGTGCACTATCCAAATATTCCATCGGCAATACGTCCAGTTCCTCATGGAGAGGGGCTACCAATTCCTAAAGCACCAGAATCCTTCGTGGTTGAGTCAAGTGAGGAAGAACCTGAAGCGTGTAGTCACTGTGCAGTTGTAAGAGATAGCCCTTTCCCCCTCGAATACAAGAGAAAAGCAAAGAGAAGCAAAACCGACACAAACTGAGACAAAACTAGTGAGAATCCTAAGTATTAAAATGATTCAACTTAGCTTATGGCTATAATTTTTCTTGGTAATCCTATGCAATATATTATGCCATTTAGGCTTTGTTATGTAGTCAATATCACTTGCTTTATATTTGTGGAAAGACATCTATCTATATAATAATTGTGCATTATGTAGTCATTACGCCTTCTAGTAGAAAACTTTTCGTTTACAGAAAAACTAATTGAGCCATTGACAAATTTCATTGTTATATTTTAAAAGAACTCAGAATGTGAAATTCTATTAAGAAATGGATCCTTTTGTTTCCAAAACTGCGATGTTTGTTGAACATGTAAGTGATCATTTCTGCCAATAGTTATTGCAAGTAATAATGGAGATAGGAGGCAACATTGACTTGTGCCACAATGTAATTTAAATTAAAAAAAGACAAGCAAATATTTATTTTAATTCTTACACAGGGATCCTGATATAAAATTTAAAACCAGTTAAAAAACTTGGCGTTTGAATGAAAATTTTCCATCACTGCCCACAAATAAGGCCATTAATACTATTAAAGGCATTAGTTTCAGATTCAGATCTTTACTAGTGCAAAAAAAAGAAAAGAAAAATTATGTGAGGACCCACCAAAATCCATATGAGACCCTTCTCATTGATATAAGTCTGGTGTGGACTTGGAGGGGGACTCCAGGTAAAAAAAAGATGTGGACTTCCCCTCAAACATACCAGGCCATATGCCCTTAATATGGAGAGTGCACCTTGCCAAGGTGTACTATCCTGTCCCCATGTCCCCATTTTGAAGGGGGCAAGGGCCTCAATCCCATGTTCCTGTCTTGGTGCTTGTAGTAGTCTGTGGGGGGGACTTATTCGAATCTGGAAGCCTCCTTTAAAATAAGGAGACCTCCAGGGAAGGGTCTGGTATAGATATATCACCTTTTCCTTAGTATATCATACCATCATACAGGTACACCACTTCAAGTGTATAATTAAAGTATCCCTCAAGCATGTAATGTGAAGGAATTTGGTATATTTAATGTTTCCCATAAAGCTTTAAAACCTGCTACATACTGAACTGTATTTTCTAAAAGCTTTTTTTTTTTTGTAAAAGATTCTCATAGACTTTAATAGGGTTGGGTGCTATGTTTGGGGCCTGCTGACTTTTTTTCAGTTGTTTGGCAAATGTCAAGCTAACCAGGCTGTGCTTGGTTTGCACATCAATAACTACTGCAATCGAGAAATTTGCTAACATTTTACTTAAAAATGTAACAACTACTCTAAGGAAAGATATTGGGCTGTACCAACCTTGATGCATTGCATCTTTACCTGCTTTCAGTATAGCCAACAGTATCAGCTCATACATAGAGTTGTGTTCAACATAATAGCAGTCAGACATCACTAACCTGATCAATCACTGTTTTTGTAGAAATGATATTTCTACATGGAAAATAATTTACTAGCAGGTGTAGTAGAGTAATAGAAATCCAACAGACCCAACAGTCATGACATGCTTGCTGCTGATTCTGTGTAATTGAATCACTAATTGAAAGGGGCATGTTCAAAATAATAGCAGTGTGGAGTTCTATTAGTGAGGTCATTCATTCTTTGAAAAACAGGTGGCAATTATTGCCCTTATTTAAGGAAGGAAGGCAGCAAATGTTTTACATGCTGGTTACAGTGCATTTCTCTCTGAAATTCTGAGGAAAATGGGTCGTTCCAGACATTGTTCAGAAGAACAGCGTACCTTGATTAAAAAGTTGATTAGAGAGGGGAAAGCATATAAAGAAGTACAGAAAATGATAGGCTGCTCAGCTAAAATGATCGCAAATGCTTTAAAATGGCAACCAAAACCTGAAAGATGTGGAAGAAAGCAAAAAAACTACCATTCGAATGGATAGAAGAATAGCCAAAATGGCAAGGACTCCGCCAACAATCAGCTCCAGGAAGATCAAAGAAGGTCTAAAGTTACCTGTGAGTACTGTTTAGAAGACGCCTATGTGAAGCCAAGCTATCTGCAAGAAGCCCCCGCAAAGTCCCACTGTTGAAAAAAAAGACATGTGCTGAAGAGGTTACAATTTACCAAAGAGCACATTGACTGGCCTAAAGAGAAATGGCGCAACATTTTGTGGACTGATGAAAGTAAGATTGTTCTTTTTGGATCTAGTGGCCGGAGACAGTTTGTCAGATGACCCCCAAAGACTGAATTCAAGCCACAGTACACTGTGAAGACAGTGAAGCATGGTTGCGCAAGCATCATGATATGGGGATGTTTCTCATACTACGGTGTTGGGCCTATTTATCGCATACCAGGGATCATGGATCAGTTTGAATACATCAGAATACTTGAAGAGGTCATGCTGCCTTATGCTGAAGAGGAAATGCCCTTGAAATGGGTGTTCCAACAAGACAACAACCCCAAACACACCAGTAAACGTGCAACATCTTGGTTCCAGACCAACAAGATTGACGTTATGGAGTGGCCAGCCCAATTCCCGGATCTTAATTCAATAAAAAACTTGTGGGCTGACATCAAAAATGCAGTTTCTGAGGCAAAACCAAGAAATAGAGAAGAACTGTGGAATGTAGTCCAATCATCCTGTGCTGGAATACCTGTTCACGGGTGCCATAAGTTGGTTGACTCCATGCAACACAGATGTACAGCAGTTCTCAGAAACAGTGCTTATACAACTAAATATTCATTAAGTGATTCAAAGGAAAGCAAAATCTTCAAAGATTTTTCAGTTTATATAGTGAATGTTTGAGTTTGTAAAGAAGAATACAAAAACTGCTATTTTATTGAACAGTCTAATATTCACTTTTCTTCAATTTTTTCAGAGGAGTAACACAAATTTGATATATTTTTCTTCATGTTTTGATTTGGAATAGAATGTGTAGTGTTCCCAATGCATTTGTGTGTATGGAAATAAAAGCTATTAGAAGGATTTGAGCTTTATTCACTTTTTTCAACACACTGCTAATATTTTGAGCACAACTGTATATGTTGGAAATACGCTGAGCTCAAAAGTTGCATTGTTATTAGCCAGAGCTCCCAACACACTTTCCAAAGTAAACTGCCAGCAAAGTCCAATACATCTGGTATGTGAATGGGCCACAAGTAATCTACATCCTCATCTCCAAAACTGCTAACATTATCTGTTCTAATTAGGTAACTAGTTGTACATCTGAGTATGCCCTTTTAGAGGCACGAAAAAATATTATGCATTCAATAGAATGTGTCCATTGTTCAAATGCAGAAAAGACTACAGTGTTGATGGCTGCTAAACCAGTGTTGTAGTTGCTAATAAAGGCCATACTGTATCTCCCTCTTCAATGCAATGTTTCTTTAAAAAAAAAAAACACATTCTTCAACACAATTTTTATTTCAACTAGATTCTGTGCTGCTTCCAAAATCTTAAAAGATATAATAGTAGGGTTATTAATATTTTCCTCTTTCACTCTGTCAATTTGTACTGTTAGATTCCTCTCCCATTCCTTCGCATTTGCTTTAACAACCTAGATCTGTTTCAAACGTAGCTTTCAAAGCATCTCAATGGGGAAGC